TTATGTAGGTGTGTGACTATGGCCAGGCATTGCACATTTCCTGTCCTCTGCATTTTCCCCCTGCTTCCTAGACATGATCCTTGTGTTGGCCGTGTACAAAATCATTGCTTTTACATATCCCAAAGAGGCTATTTTTCCTGTGACTGTGGGGACATGTAGAATAGGTAGCTAATGCACAATCACAGAGAAAGAACAAATTAAGCTGCAAGACAAAGAATAAAATGCATACAAGGTTGTGGTGATATCTGCCTATAATTTCTATACTTTGGAGGGTAATGGAAGTGAATAATGACTTCAAGGACAGCCAGGGACACACACCCAGAATATGATGTTATTCATTCAAGTACAAATATGGCACACGACTGAAACCAAGCCTGAGTTCCACAACGGAATTGTGAAAAATGTGCAAACACACAGACACACACATAAATACATATATATCATATCCATAAACATATATGCATGTACACATATACTGTCAAAATACCTCATGTGAACATAAACATTCAAACACACATTCATCCACTGGGTATAGATGGAGGCATTTGGAGAGGAGATGGATTCTGTGCCTGTTGCTGGAAGGTCTGCAAGGACTGGGAGGCAGAAGAATCATCTGAGTGACCCCCAAAGGACATATATATGATGGTCACTCCACTGTGAGAGATAAAAGGTCTAAATAAGCAGGTATCCACAGAGTGTCCCTAGCGTAGGTCTTGTTAGTCATGACACCCACATGCCTGCTTCTCAAACAGCCCAATCGTTGGATCTTCATCAGATAGGATTCTATTGAGAATGTTTATTACCGAAGAAAGGCCCACAATTGTCCCTGTTTTACAAACAATGGATTTTCCAAAGGTTGGATGTAAAATTTGGGTGAGCTTTGATAGCCCCAGAGAGATCAACCCTCACCAGGTCCTCATCACTGAGGTCAGACAGGAGGACAAAGCAGAAGCCACAGAAGACAGAGATGGGGATTGAGCTGTCACATCATGCTCATTGTGATCCACTCACAATGGTGTGTGTGCCTTGTCTGTCATTCAGCTCTGTTTCTTCTGAGCAGGCTGTGAGGGACATTGATCTTTACTACTGCATCTTTACTACTACCCAAATGCGGACCCTAAATGACCTCACTCTGGAGACTGATGTGCACCCTCTTTACCCAATAGCTGGTCACTTTTTCAGTTTCTGCTCTGGTCTTTCTTCCTCACTGGAGTCATACCTTGTGGAGTTAATGAGGCTGTCACATCTACTGTTCCTGGGATGACACCTAGTGCTGACACATGGTGACTTCCCAAATGAATGATGCTGAGGAATTTATTGATTTGCCTGCTCTTTTACTGAAATACACTATGTGTCTGGAATCCTGCCAAAACACAGTAAAGCCACATGTTAAAATCAGAAATGAGTGAGACCACCTGACTCTTTCCCAGGTACTTTGCTGGGCCTGTGTACACCCATACCTGAGAGCTCCGTGGTCAAAGACTGCTCCATAGTATGGAGAAGTTCCTTTAAAAATGGCCAAGGATAAGTGAGGAACAAGGGGAATGATTCTGCTAGAGAAACAAAAGGACACACAGAAGAGCCAAACCCCTGGGTAGCTGACTACAAAACATCAGGCCCAAGATAAGAGTTTCTGTGGCTCATTCCTCTGCATCCTGGAAACACTTCTTAAGAGGGCTCTACCAAGGGAGCCCACCAGTCTCCACAATCTAATGGGGGAAAAGAGCAGGATGGTGCATGACCAAATTACAGCCAGCAGTTAGGGATTCTCTGGGTATTGAAGTATTGCTCATCATGTAAAAAGAACATCCAGCACCTGCTTGGTGGTAGTGAAACATCCATAATTCCATAGGACACTGTACACAAAAACAGTGTCCCCAAGAGCAGGGCAGTCCAAATTTGGTTCATTAAGTTCCCCAGGATGTCTGCCTCAGGAATTTCATTGTGGCAGGACTCTTCTTAGCTAGACACTGGTGTAGTTTCAATCTAGGTGGGCACAATTGACCAGATGTTCATACACTAAAGCAGTATCAAATAGCAAAAGGATTTTCTTTAGAGTGTACTCAAAAAATACCCAAAGGTATTCCCCACAAACAACACATGCACATGCACTCACACATTGGTAGGGATCTGTTGCTTTAGGTGGGGGATCAAATTGTTCTGGATGTCCTTTGCTAACTATCCTCCCATCCCTGTGTAATCTTTGGTGTCACCTGCCAAAATAGAGAGGCATCATGGGCTTATGGAGAATGAGTCTCAAGATTTGGACTAGGCCTCCTTTTGGGTGCTCTTTGGTACTGAGCAAGTGCAAATTACAAGAAACCCATTGAATCCCCTTCTTCCAGGAGGTTCTACAGAGCAATGAGTTTGCTGAGGTTGCTCTGGAATGCAGGTGCTTTGTTCCCCTGGGTTCTACAATGTTATTGGTCCTCAGTGGTATAAGTGGTTTGTTCTTTGAAGTTTTACTCTACCAAGTCTCTGCCCTCAGACAAAACCTCCCAAGGATAACTGGTACGCTGACCAACCTGCATGCCCAGTCTGTGTGGAAAACCAGACATAGTCATACCCACACGCTATGCCACATCAGCTCTGGGTAGCCCATTTTCCAAATCTGAGGGGACAGATCTGGGTTTACACCTAGACTGTTATTTAAGCATGTGTGAGACTATGGCCAGGTATCGCACATTTCCTGTCCTCCACACTCTCCCCATGGCTTGCTATACATGACCCTGGTGTTGGATGCCTAGGAAGTCTTTGCTTTTATATTTCCTGATAGTCTTAGGGACATGTGGAACAGGAAGCTAATGCACAATCACAGACAAGGAATAGCTGCAGGAAGTTAGAAAAAAAGAATATAATGTAGATGAGGTTGTGGTGATGCCTGCCTGTAAGTTCCATACACTGGAGCTAATGGATGGGAATGTTGACTTCAAGGACAGCCTGGGCCACACACCCAGAACATGTCAGTCATTCAACTGCAAAAATGGCAGATGACTCAATCGAAGCCTGAGTTCCACAATGGAACTGAGAAATAAGGACAAGTGCATGTTATATTCATCTGTGTGTGTATACACACACACACATGTTGTCAAAATACTTCAGGTGATCAAGAGCATTCACACACACATTTCTAACACTAGGTATGGATGGAGGTATTTGGAGATGTACCTGTTACTTGAAGATCTTCAGGATTAGGGGGTGTTAGAACTCCAATAATGGTTGGACCAGAGCTTGGGATTGGACCAGGGCCTCCAGGAGTGTTGTTCAGGCCCAGCACTGAACCTCCATTGTTAGGAGTCAGGGAGCACAAAGTGACCTTTCTATATCCTCTTGGTGCCACAATCACTAGTAGAGTACTTGACATTCTCACAAATCTCTCTCTTGTTCAAGGACTCCTCAGAGAGTATCAAAGCACTCAAGATGGCTAACTTCACAAATCAGGCCTCTTTTTTCATATCCATTCCAACTAAACTATCCTCACAGCCAGACAATGGAGGGTGGACTTTTGCACAGGTATAGATGTGTGCTCCTTACAGCAGAATCAACTACAGGCAATTGCAGAAAGGCCTTGAGGTAGAACTGAAGATGAGGAAGTGCTCTTGTTGATCACATGTCTGTTTTCCCTCTGTGGCTGAGCCACACTGCCTCCACTTCCTAATATCCTCTTGGAGGAGGTGACAGGCCAGTGAAGGAATGAGCATCTGACTCTAGATTCCAAAGTCAAGACCCTGTCCTGTGATATCAGTCTGCTGGATTTACTAACAGGTAAATATAGGTAGGATGTCCTACGTTATGAAACAGGTTCACCCTAACAGAGGAGAATGTACTGAGTAGTCCCAAAAGACAATACTGATTATCATTTCACTGGGAGAGAAAAAATAGTTTACATGAGCAGGTATCCACAGAATGTCTGTAGTTTAGGTCAAGCCAGTCATGACACACACACATCTGATTGTCATTCGGCCCAATTGTCAGGTCATCAGATAAGACTGTATCAAGAATTTCTATAGCCAATGAAATGCCCACATTTGGCTCTCTCTTAGAAACAATGAATTTTCCAAAGTTTTGAGCTAAAATCTTGATGAGCTTTGATGGCCCTGGAGAGATCAATCCTCACCAGGTCAGTCCTCATCACTGAGGTGTAAGAGGGTGAGACAGGAGGACAAAGCAGAAGCCACAGAAGACAGAGATGGGGATTGACCTGTCACACCATGCTCATTGTGATCCAGTCAGTCCTGGATTCGATGCTATATGTTTCAAGCATTCAGGTCTTGCTTCTTCTGAGTAGGCTGTGAGGGGCAATCCAATCTCCTAGAGGTTGGTCACCAAAGAGGGCCCCTGTTCTGACCAGCCCCTTCCTTTCATCAAAGATTCAGAGAAGCTGAGTTGACACTATTTGTGTGGGATATGGCTTTGTGGATATAGATTCCATTGTCATTGCTCTCTTCCTCAAGAAGGCTAAACTGACCTTGTGCCAAAGTCAGCTCAAGGTCAAGGATGCTGTTGAGGAACTGTGGGTCCTTCCAGTTCACCTGGATCTATAAATTCTGACCTCAAAGTTTTCCCATTATGACTCTAAATCATCCTTTTCTGTCTTGGGGTGGTGTCCAGCTCTTGGTCTGGCTCATAGACTCCTAGTCTGGTGAATTGAGCAATGCTAACTTTTAACACAAACCTCTAGAGTATAACCTCCATGTGATGCTCAAAGTGTGTAGGGGCAGGCCCCTGGAACTCACATAAATGCCTGAGGCTCTAAAACATGTACAAATGAAGTCCTTTCTGCTGCACCTCTTTCTCAACCCTGATTCTATTACTGCAGAGGGCCAAATTTCAGGCACTGAAGGGAGGAAATGAGGTCTGGTTAAGAAAATGGCCATGTTCATGTAGATCTAAGAATCTGAATGGGGAAAAATGGCTCTGAGCCATGGAACACCAGGTCTGCACAAGGAAGTCAGAAGGACACCTGCCACCACCCTGCCCTGCAGAGCCACTCACAGATTCCATCAGGATGAAGTGGTGATTCACCAGGTCATGAGGGGAAGCCAAGAAAAATGGTTCTCCCTGACTATGTCAGGTTCCATGTCCAAGGATGAAGTCCTTGAAGGCTCTCCTAGGGACCAAACTTCTCACATTCTGTGGTCTTCACAGGAGGCAGCTCCACCTCTGGTGCTCCTGAGGAATTTGGCTCAAGCTCTGGATTTGGTTGTAATGCCAAAATTGGAGCTGTAGCTAGATCTGCAAGAGGAGATAAGAACTCCACATGACCACCTTGCCCTGAAGCTTTGGAAATTCAGAGATGATCTCTCAGCTTCCCTGAGAAGTCAGAGCCCTAAACCCACAGCAGGACATCCTCCTAGACTGTGGTCCAATCCCTGTGGGGTCCAAAGCTCATCCTTACTCCTGCTCTAGTGTTAGACTAGGAATATACACAAGGTGGGGCTGTGTGCACACATCCCTCCTCATGTGCTCTCTGTCCCCAGCCTTCTCACTTTTAGCTTCTGTCTCATTGGACTCTATGTTCTCCCACTCTTCCAGGAGAAGGAACACTCAGCCCTCATCTTCTGGTCCTGGCATATAAATCACCAGGTAATTCAGCAGTAACTTCAGGCATGGAAAGTGTGTTTCACAGAAATCCTCAGAGAAGTGATCCAGCCAGGTGCCAAGTATTAATGACAAGGCCCTGTAGGCAAATGGAAGGACAATAGAATCACACGCCTGTTCTTGCCTTTCCCTTCCCTGCCACAGTGGACTTATGGGTGCAAGGTTCCTGTGCCTGCCCCTGTTCACCCAGAGTACTACACACTCTAGACTATGCTATATGTCTGTCCAGGCCATGGCTGGCAGGGTTAAAAAAAAAAAAAAGCAGGAGCTGCACTTCTCCTATATGGGAGGGAGCACAAACTAAATAATTTGAGCACTTCCTCCTTTCCAGGGACTCTCCACACACAGCACCATGTGTTTCTGGGGCCCTTGCCCTCTGGAATGCCAAGTCCACTAGGGCATGTACTCCTGCCTGGCACCCACATCGCTCTGGGAACCCTCAGATTGTATTTCCAGTTGCCTCAATACCCTGAGGACCATGCGTGTGGTCTGTCTATCCATAACTTTTCTCCTGATTGACAAAATCTACTTTCTGAGCACACATTTGGTCCCTGGTGTCAGCTAAACTCCCACTACTGAGGAATGAGGACATAAAACCTTTTCGGTGGACCTGACAAGCAACAGGGTGGACAAACCCTACAGGGATTTGGATGGTGTGTTAACATAGGGTTCTGTTCCAGGTCCTACACCTCATCTACCAATCAAATGCTCAGAATGACACTCACAGCTCTTTTGGCTTCACTGTATTCAGTGGATCCCTAGACCTGAGCCCTCTTTTGGAGTCACAATAGTTTTGGAACACAGAGTGTGTCCATAACTAACCAAATCCAGCCCCAAAATGTCCCCACTCTTTAGACAGGTGCCCATCCAACTTGACCCAACATCTGCTTACATTTTCACTTCTTCCTCTGGTCTGTCATTTGCATTGTCATCAAACCTAGAGGAGTCCATAAAAGTGTCACATCTACTGTACCTGTTATGGCACCCAGTGTTACTGGGTGACTTCCCAGGGGAATGGAGCCCAGGACTTCAGCAATTTGCCTGCTCTTTCACTGAATTGTGCAAAGTGGCTGGAAACACAATCCCATACAGTAGGTGACTCATGTATATTTGTGCAAGGAATGAAGTCACTTAGCTCCTTTACACATGCCACACTGGGTCTAGGTTCCTCGAAACCTGGAACAGGTCCCTGATCTGCTACAACTAGGTCTGATATGGCTTCAAAAAATGGGAAACTTCCTTTTAAAAATGCAGAGACTGCTGTGCCGAGGACAATGGTAAGTGAGAACCAGGTCAGAGAGATTCTCCAAGGAGAGCTGGGGATACCCAGCATAGTCAACAGACCTGAGTGGCCTACTTCACAGGATCATGCCCAGCAGAGGCACTTCTATGGCTCATTCCTCTTGGTCCTTAAGAGGGGTTTGTACTGAGGACCCCAGTCTCCACAATTAAACCAGGACAAGAGCAAGGCAGGGCACTGCCAAGTCACAGCTAGGAGTTGGTTTGTCTTCTGGGAATTGAAGTACAGCTTACCAATTGAAAAGTTTGTCCAGCACCTGCTTGGTCGTAGTAAAGCATCTATACCCTACCAGAAAGTTGTGGACACACACAGTGTCCTCACCTGAGGGACAGTTCAAGAGGTTGGTCACCAAATTCTTGAGAATTCTTGCCTTGAATTTCAGCTCACTGCAGGGCTCATCCAACATGGAGGCTCATTTATTTTCATTCTGGGTGGGGAAAAAGGAGGAAGTAATTTAAACAAACAGCAGCAACAGGCAAAATATTACCCTATACTGAAGTGAAACTTGCCAAAAAGAATTTTGCTCACACTCAGGCACATACACGTGGACATCCACAAAAACAGACATATCAGTAGATATCTGTTGCTTTATGTGGGGGGAACAGGTAGATTTGATAGCTGGTATCATCTATCCTTTTTGTGTCACCTTTGGCATCCTCTGGGGAAAACCAGAGGCTGTGTGTGCCTGGGCTGATCCAGTGTCTCAAAATGTGGATGAGGCCTCTATTCTGGCCTCGCCTGGGGCCTGACCATATGCCAGTCAGGAGACACAAAGAGAACATCCTTCACTCTTTAGTGCCTCCAGAGAAATGAGCTTGCTGTATTTGCTCTGCATTGTACGTTCAGGTCATCAAAGTTCTGCATTGTCTTGAGTCTTCAATAGTGTAAGTGAGGTCATCTCTGAAGGTTTCCTCCACTGAACCTCTGCCTCAGAGAAAACTTCCCCCAGGTCCACTGGTACTCTGACCAACCTGTCTACCCAGACCATGTGGAAAGCTACACACAGCCACACTCACACCCTAGCCCACAATGACCTCGGACGTGCCTGGCTAGACAGTAACCCAATTTTGAGGTGATAGAGCTGGGTTCATAACTGGGCCCTATTCCAGCCAAGTGTGTTACCCTGGACAGGTCACTGTGCTTCTCACATCCTCCACACTACCCCTCTTTCTTGTTGAGCTGTCACCCTAGCACCTGCTAGCTGGAAGGGTTTGCTTTCACATGCCGTAGCTATCTGTAGTACTTATGACCCTCGGGGACAGTTGGAAGATGTAGCACTAATATGCACTAATATGGAGAAGGGACAATTAGATGGCTTCATGGACCTGCAACTCATCACTCAACTGATTCTGCGTAGGCTGTGTTCTAAGCTATTCTGAGGAGGTGTGTCATCCAGGAGGGCACCTGCACTACCCAGAACCACCCTTGCATGAATGGTGCCATGAGCACAAGTTGGCAGCTGTATGGGATATGGCTTCCTTGATTCAGGTTCCCTTATCATTCCTGTCCTCCTGAAAGCTAAACGGACCTGTCAGCTCTAGGGATCAAGGTTAAGGTTGCTGTTCCAGAACCTTGGGACCCTGTAGTGCCAATCAGTCATATGCCCTGCACATTCACACTCCAAAGACTTACCATGGTGACTCTAAGTCAGCTTTTCTGCCATCAGGAAGTTCTCCAGCTTCCGGTCATGCTCAGTTTCTTGGGCCTGGTCCACCCACTACCAAACCTATCCTTTTACACAAACCCTCAGACTCAAACTCCCTCTCACTTTTACTAAGGAGTGAGGCCAATCATTCAGGCTTCAATCAGAGTTCTGGCACAGGTGAACAATCAGGGACTGGCTTTTCTTTTCCAATCCTAAATCTATATACTAACTGGGTAGGCCTTGTGCATTGTACAAAGTGCAGTTGAATTTTCAGGTTAAGAAAATGGCCCTGTTTAGGTTGCTTCCTGGATTTGAATGGGAAAAATCTCCCTGCACCAGAGAATGCCAGATTTGGGCAGAAGGGGTCACAAGAATGCCTGCCTCCACTATGATTGCACAACCACTTACATCTGTTAGCATGAACTGTTCTGCCACCAGTTTGGACTGGAATGTCAAGAGTTGAATTTTATACTTAATCAGCACCTTTTCCATGGCCACAGGTGAGACTCTCATGATGGAACCACATCATTGCTTTCTGCAGCTCTGGAGTCCTTTTCAGGAGCTGTCTCGAACTCCACAGCCTCTGAATGAGCTAATTTGAGTTCTGCATCCTCTAAAGGAGCTTGCTCAGGTTCTGAAGTTGGTTCCACACCTTGATCTGGTGAGAGAGCTGCAGGAAGAGACAAGAACCCCTATTTCTGCCTTGCCTTCCACTACTTTTAGTTAGTTGACTCTGTAGGACTAGGCATTAGGCTATCACATACAGGGATCATCCTACTGAGTCCTGGAATCATCCTCTGGGCGTAATAACCTGAGCTACCTACTCTGGACAAGCAAACTGGGCCAAGAGCAAGACACTGCATTGCATTTTCACAGCAGTGGAAATCCATTGGGCTCACCATTTGAACAGTCTATCAAGCTCATGCTCTGTTCCAGTGCAATTTTGGTTGATGCCCAGGAAGGTGGGGATGAAGGGGGGGATGAAGAATGTGTCCCAGAATAGCATGGAAGGCACCATTTTCTCCAGAATTTCTGCCTTGAGGAGTTTCTTCCCGTAGGCATCTTGGAAGTTGGCTGACACATGTTCTCCCTTCATTAGGGGCCAAACAGGGACAGATCAAACATGGAAGACAGTAGCTACCTAGAAAAAGGACTTTGCCATAGAGTCAAAGGAAACAGGAGAATAGAATTTTCCTATACACACAGACACACACATACATAAAAAGAGGCGGGATCAGCTGTGTTCTTTGGAAGATTAGAGTGGTTTGGATGCCATCCCTTCAACTTCCCCAACCTGCCCTCTCTCACCTTTGTGGTCCTCTGGAATAATCTCCACTGGCATTGTGATCAAGTACTGATGTAGTTTCTCCAGACAGAGGCTGGCCTCTGGGGTTGGTTCTCCTGGGACGTGAGCTCTGAGCAATGGGAGACATCGAGAAAACATCATTTACTCTATAAGGTTTAGAGAGATATGAGTTTACTACAGTTGATCAGCACAGTGGCTGCCTGGCCAACAGGATTCTAAATTCTCTGGCCCGTATTCAGGAAATGAGGTAATCTCTGAAGCTCTCCTCAACTGTCCCTTTATCTCAGACAAGACATCCTAGGTTCACTATGCTGCTAAATGCTTATTGACCTGGTCCATGTGGAAAACTAGATACTGTGACACCCACAACCTCCACACCACTGTCTCCAGATGGGTCTGAAGGTGCCAGTGCCCAACTTTGAGGAGATCAAGTTAGATTCACACCCAGTGCATCTTTCCAACAAGGCATGTGACCCCAGACAGGTTATTCTGCCTCTCATGCCTTTCCTCATTCCATTACCTGTATTGTTGGGAGCCTACTATCTTTCTCATAGAAAGGCCTCAGCCATGCCTGTCTTAACTTTCTTAGTTTGGAACACTCAGAGAGAGCTGCCACCTGATGCACATGCACTAACTTAGAGATGGGACAATGACAACAAGGAGGAAAAAAATATAATGAGGAACAAGTGTGGTGGTGCCCACACTTAAGAGGCTAAGGGAAGAGCATCTTTAGACAAAGGCTTGCCTGGGGTCCATAACCAGTCCTTATCTCTTATAAAAATAAAACTGAAACACAACTCATCCCAGACCTGAATACCACAGGGCTATCTAGAGAAAATCATAATTGTATGCATAGGGATGTGTACATACAGACACACAGGCTTATTATGAACATCTACATCACATGGACAGAGAGCTATATACGGACAATCACACATGGACTCACAGACATGCATGAGCATGTATGTGAATACAGGCCCACAAGCAAATGCACATGGATGCACCTAGTAACACAATAGTGAACATAACTAGGAGCCAGTCCCACACTGAAAGAAGAGCCCTGGTGTCTGTAGGTAGAAATTAAACACTACTATCAAGTTGAATACAAGAGGAGTTTAAAAAAAACTCCATGAGAACTATTAAAAAGATCTGGAGCCAGTACAAATACTCATACTACTTCTGCCTTAACAGAGACATGAGATTGCCTTTTGCCAGATAGCACATTGATAAAAAGCCCTTCTTCAAATCTCTCAGCTTTGATAATTTTTTTAGAGGTGTGAGATAATTAGATCCAGAGGATGGCACTGCTTTTGTATTGTCCTTTAAAGCTATAGTTCTAGTAAACAGTCTTTTTTCTGCACAGTCAGTTGCTCTGAAGATTTTTGCCCACTGGGCATTTTGGTTCCTCTTCTCCAAGATTATGATAGAATGAACAGATTAAGGTTTCTTTCATGAATTCTCCTTTAGTCGTAAGGCAAAGGTATGTATTTTAGTTAGGCCTGCTCAGGATAAGAATTTTAGATAACATTTGAAGAGACAACAACTTTACACATTACTGTGCAATAGTAGTTTAGGAACCGTCCCAAGGATGTTCTAACTCAGGCATGACAAAATGTCAATTGAAGCATTCTTAGTAGCAGATTAGTCAGGTAAGTTTTCCAAAGAGTCAAACTCAACAGAACTTTTTGTTCTTCAGTAGGTTACAACAGCCCTTTCACACAAACACCCTAGTTTCTCTCTATAAAAACTATAGCACTTAGGAGTACTCCAACCACAAGTTAACTACAATTGTCCTTAGAGGTCAGGAGGATGGCACAGACCACAACTCTAGGGTGACTAACAGTTACCCTATGCATGCACTTAATCTAGTTCTTAGGTATTTTAATCACATGCATGGGAGGTGAACAATACTTATGTTTTTAGCAGCATGGACTTAGTAGAACCGAGCAGCCCCACAACACCTATGAACTTTTCCATGTGAACAAGGAGGGTGGGAGGATAGACTCAAGTGGCAGAGCACCTGCCTAGCAAGCATGAAGCCCTGAGCTCAAACTCCACTTCACAGGGCCAGGGAATAAAGTGAGCAATAGCAACTCAAGTCTCTTAGACATCCAGTAATTACAGTGTCCTTTCATTCAAAGACTATCAACATTTCTCAGAATTTTCTTCCTGTATCCCCTAAAGCATATTAGACAGAAACCATTAGTTGCCACCAATACATATTCTTTTCCTTACATCGAAATTGCCCTGTCTTAAGGTGACAGAAGTATGCAATTTAAACAGAGTGTGGTTAAAAGATTGTAGACTAGCCATCTCTTAGGCCACAGCCCCACTGATAAGCATAGCAAACAATCTTTGGGCACAACTCATGCTGGGAAGTGCAACTCCCCTGAGCAGCTTGTTCAACTCAACCTGAGGACAGTCTTTCTATTTTTAGTTGGATTCATGGACAAGCTCCATAAGGCTCAGACGAATTTTCCACTAATTTCTCTCCACATAATTCATGAGGCAACTGTGAAAAAGATGAATATCTATTACAGAAAGGACCTGAAAGTCCAAAAACTGCTAGGTTGCCTCTGAGTGGTTTTCTGGACGATGTATATAGTAAGAGTACAGAAGTTCTCAGAGAAGCCAGTGGACTCCAGGCTTATGACACCACCTGCCTTGGGATGCAGGCATAGAACACTAATGGATGCCAGCATGCTTGAGAACAAATGGTGTACACCAGTCTGAGGTCAGGATCATGTCAGCCATAAACAAACAACAACAATAAAAAACAAACCACAGTTTGTCAGATTGTACAACCATCTACAGTGGGGTAAAAAAACCCAGAAATCCATGGACCACCCTCGAAACAGACAGAGCTCCTGGTATAGACTGACATGTCAATTATACTAATCTACTCAATTTCAACCTTCAACAGATGATCTTTGCAGTCATGCAGAGCAGTGATATCACCTTGGTGACCCTGAAGGGCCCTAAGGCCTTATCTAGGAACATTATAACTCTTTCAAGGCCACTATCCATGCCCTTGACACAGAAAATGCTGAACTATGTGCTGTATCCTGTTCAACAGTACTTGGAAGGCCACACTGCAATGTCTTAGTCACCTTGGCAGTGTTGAAAGATAATACTGAGGTTGAGTGCAAGCGAGGAGCTCTGTCATCAAATGAGAGACAGACATCCTCCAGCCCATCCTAGGCCTACTCAGGGCAGTGATATCAAATGGATACTTCAAGGGCAAAGAAAAGCAAACCCTCCAAGCCGAAATACCTGGACCTCACCCTTAGATGTCTTGATGAGGTGGGTACCTGACACCTAGAGACACAGGGTCCTGACTCCCTGAACAACTCCTGTCCTATACAACACGGATCAACTTGGGGGTCTTTTTGGAGGCTGAGGACACAGACAAGGATGAGGAATTCTGGCTGCCTGAGTACAAAAATGCAGCCTGTCCATAAGGTTGACTAACATCTGCTCTACACTTACATTCATTTGAAAAGCTGAAGCCAAGTCAGCCTTCCTGGACTTGTTTTATTCCTCTTCTTTGTACACATTTCCAAGTGGTAAAATCTACTGGTTGAAACTTGCTTTCAGGCATCAAACGTTGTCAGTTCTCAAAATTATGCCTGAATTCTGCCCTTCCTGAAACAGCCTTTGAAGATGCTTCAGCCTGCACTGCCCATCCCCAGTCAGTAGGGCTATGTGTTATTATTCTGTCTGCCTCATGATCTTGTATTAATATCTTAATAAAGGTGTCTCCCTCCCTGTCTTGCGTCTCAGCACTCCAGTACGACTTGCAGAGTCATCCAGCCAAAGCAGCCTTTGGAAGGCTATGGTCCTAGATGACTACAAGCTCAAGAGAAGGCCTGAGCATGGACACTCAACTGGGCTGCTTCCAAATTCCTGACCCACAGAAAATGAGTGAAGTAGTATTTTTTCTTGTGTTACTACGCTAAAAGTTAGAGAAATCTCTTACACAGCTATAGGGAACTTACAGATAACAGATGGCAGGCCCATATGCTAACTACTGGTGGCATCCAGCACTGTTCTGCAACCTCAGGGTCTCACACTGGGAGCCCAGGTTCATCGTGACACCTGCTCTACAAGAAAGTGCTTATGGCCTCAGCAACAACCCTACCACGTGCATCTGATGGGGGTTGATACTTAACAAAACTGAAGTGATGAAGTGTGCTAAGGGAGCTCTGCCTCATGGACTCCTCCTCAGCTCAGTCACTGCTAGAAGCTGGGGTGTGGGAATTGTTTCTCTCATAGAAGAAAGATCTCTGTTATCTCAACATGCATTAATTTACCTGCATTTCCAGAATCTGAAATTCAAGTTGAAATGTAACCATGTGGCCACTTTCTGATAATCGGTGTCTCTGTAGAACATTCTTCACATCTGTAAATTAGAAAAACAAGCATTTTATATGCAAACAACAACTGTCTTCAGATATCCATTATTTTGTATGAGTATCTACAACATATATAGAAATATGAAAGTGTACATTACCAATTGTATTTAAAAATCTGGAAGAATATATATCAAATTGATTAGCCTTACAAAATTGGATCAATATCAATTTATACTTCTAGTGCTCAATTATACCAACAGTCAAGGTAAACAGAAATATACATAGAAAACCCTAAGTAAGTTTGAATCATGTTCACTGTTTGATGTCCTTCTTTCTTTTCTGTTTGTCATCATTATCTTGTTCATGTATGGATTTGGCTTGACATGACTGTAGCCATCCTGGTTCATAACCACTATGGTGGTCCCAGAGTAACCCTAGTCAGTTTTTCCAACAATCATTATTAGACAAAACCATTAGAGACATTCATGGAGCTTTAAATAGGGATCCTGGCTCCCAGATACACCTGACTCTCAATATTAAGATAAACTGAGAGCATTCCAGCCAGAATGAAGTCACTTTTGTCCTAACTCACAAATATGCCATTCTTTCTAACCCATATTTAGGGAATCCAAGTGGTCTTGCTGCCACCCAGAGCCATGCTTCTGGCAGTAACTCCCCTAAATAAATTCTACTCTGTGCAACTGTAGATATGTCTAGCCCTCGTACTTTGGTCTCACAGCACCTAGGGTGGGCCACATACACTAGGACCAAGTTGTCCTAAATACTGTTGAAGACAATAAATGGAACCCACATGCTTAGCTGTTACCTCTTAAAATTTCACTAATATGAATGCTATTTTCAAAATATGACATGGATACCTTTGTTGGGACTGGGGTTTGAATTCAACATGCTCTACTGCTTGAACCACACCTCTCGTCCATTTATCTCTGAGTGTTTTGTAGATGGGCTCACACAAACTATTCACCTGGGCTGGCCTTGAACTTGACCCTCCTGTTCTCAGCCTCCCAGCAGTTAAGATCACAGGCATGACCCAATGGTGCCCAGCAAGCATGCATACATTTATCCTCATACACTGCTGGTGGGAATGCAAGCTAGTACAACCACTTTGGAAAACAATATAGAGGCTTTTAAAAAACTAAACATAAATTTGCCATATTATCCAGCAATCCCACTCCTAGGAATATACCCAAAGGAATGCGACTCAAGTTATTCAAAGACACTTGCACACCCATCTTTATTGCAGCATTATTTACAACAGCCAAGCTATGGAAACAGCCAATATGCCCCCCAGTGGATGAATGGACTAAGAAAATGTGGTATTTATACACAATGGAATTTTACTTAGCCACAAAGAAGAATGAAATTTTGTCATTCACAAGTAACAGATGGATGTTGAGAACACCATCTTAAGCAAAGTTAGCCAGGCTCAGAAGACCAAAAATCACAGGTTCTCCCTAATATGCAGATTGTTGACCCAAAATAAATTCAATACTATTATTGGACATGGGTCACACAATAAGGGGAGAACGTGCGTGGGAGGAATAGGAAAAAGGAAGGAAACCTAAAATTTGAATGTGGTTGATGTGCTCTCTGTAGAGGAGCAAATAAAGTAATCTTAACCTGGCAGAGGCCAGTATGGGAAGGGGACCAGGAAGTAGAGAAGAGGTCTGGCAGAGATGAGCCAATGTGGGTTATAATACACAAGTGCATGGAAGCAACACTAGGAATCTCTCTGTACAGCCATCTTTATCTCAAACTTGCAAAAACTTTATGTCTTTCTTACTATCTCCTATGTTTTCTCGTCAACAAAATCGGAGAGCAAGACGGTGGAACAGGTTCTGCCCAGACTGGAGGTATTGGGGGGCGTGGGAGGAGGGGCAGGTGGCCCAAACAATGTATACATATGTAAATAAATGTAAAGGTGATAAAATAGAACAGAGAAAAATGAAAATTAAGAAAAAAAAAAGGAAAGAAATTGTGGGGAAAGGCACTCTAGATGAATGTGTCCCAGATGTATTCATAGTGTTCCCAGAGGGTGGTCGCAAAAGACCCTAGTTGAGAAGATCTCAGGTGTTTGGCATCCTGAACAAAGAATTGGATGGGAACAAACAGATTGCAAAGCAGCAGCCAAGTTTTATTGACAGTGAAAGCAGAAAGTACACTCCGTGAGAGGGAGATGGAGTGAGCTCTGAGCAAGGTGATCCAAGAGCAGAACCTGGAGCTCAAGACATATACTTTGGCTGTGGATTTCTGGAAAGAAAAAAGCACAAAAAAAATCGAATAATTCTCCCCACATGTCCCCTCTGCCTGAGTGGCAAAGCAGTCAGGGTGCTCCTTGGAGCAAGAAAAAGTTAAAGACAGCTTTGCTAAGTTAGCTCTCCCAGGAACCCCACAGCCTCCCACTTACACCCAACCTGACCTTGAACCACAGAAGGTAGATTTTTGCATGCTTCTTCACCCCAGAATTTCTTTGCACAGCAACTGTGGCACCATTTCAGTAAGGTCGGTCACTGGAAAATAATGAGGAAGTGTTGCTTGTCATTAGGTTTCAAGTATTGTTAGAAAGCCTCACCATTCCTGCCCCTCAGCACCCCATCTTTAGACAATTCAAGCACACAAAGTCCCCAAGGGCTAGGTCAGGTACAGGTCCATGCAAGTAGCTGCCATAGTTCTCCCAGTGTGGGCTGTCTGAGGGTTGATGGGAGCCGAACCCTGTTGGGGTCTGAGCAGTGAGGTCCTCTTCCTCCCCCAGAGGCCTGGGTCAGAGCAATGCCTGAGGTCTGTAGGGTGACTGGTCTGGTCCACTGTAGATGCCCTTACCCCCTCCAGAGGAGGTCGCAGTGTTCGTGTCTGCAACCTGGGCACCGGCTCCCTGTATCCTCCCAAAGGCCTCTTGATGAGGTTTCCAGAGAGCACTGGCTGCTCCGGAAGTCCATGTGGGTCACAGTCACCAGAGTTGTCCTGTTTGGGTCCAATGTCCCTGGGCTATGGCGCCCTACAGCCATCCTTGCCTGTGTGGTCAGGCAGGGCGCTCAGTCTGTGGCGAGCTCTGCCTTGCAGAAATAATCTGCTGAACGCACTGCAGGGCTCCTGGAGGCACCTGGGCTCCGAACAGCACAGATGCAGGCTGTACCAGTAGCAGAATTGTATGTGTGTGTTGTGTGTGTTTGGTGTGTGTGTCAGGTGTGTGTGTTTGGTGTGTGTGTCTACTGTGTTCAGCCAGTGTGTGTATGTGTTTAGGTTTGTGGGGATATTAGGTGTGTGTCTGTGTGTGTTGTCTGTATGTTTGTGCATCTTTATTTATGTGTATTGTTGTGTATGTACGTGTTTTGTGTGTGTATTTTGTATATGTGTTCGTGTGGTGTGTGTTGTGGGTGTAGGAGGTGTGTGTGCATGTGCATCTGTGTGTTGTGTATGTGTGCTGTGTGTATGTTGTGTTTCTATGTGTGAATGTGTGTGTTGTGTGTCTTGTGTAAGTATGTGTGTGTGCTATGTATGTGTGCTGTGTATCTTTGTTCTGTGCATGTGAGTGTCATGTATGTGTCTCTGTGTATGCCTAGTTGCGTGCGTATGTGTATTGTGTGTGATGTGTATGTTTGTGTTGTATGTGTCTGTATTGGTGTGTTCTGTGTGTGTGTATGTGTGTGTATATGTGTGCGTGTGTTCTCTGTGTGTGTATATGTGTGTGTTCTGTGTGTGTGTGTGTGTGTATATGTGTGTGTGCATGTGTGTGTGTCGTGTGTGTTATCCCTGGTAGGCCCACGGGGAGCCCAGCACCGGGAGGCCTCTCCTGTGCAGGCTCAGCTGCAGCATCTCCGGATCTGGGCCACCGCGGGTCCACCTGTGCTGAGCACTCCAGGGTCACCCACCCACTGTCCAGCAGGAGGAAGCAGTCGCCCTCCTCCCCCTCCTCCAGCATTGCACCCATCTAGCCTCCCTCTCCTCCTCCCCAACCCCCACATAACCCCTCCCCCACCGCCCCCTCTCGCCCCTCCCCTCCAGCACCGCCCCGCCCCCTCTCGCCCCTCCCCTCCAGCACCGCCCCACCCCCACCCCCGCCCCGCCCCGCCCCCGCGGCTCTGCTGCCCGCGCCATTGGTGCGCAGTGGCCGCGGCTGAGGCCAAGGCTGGACCACGTGCACTCTGGAAACTGGATTCCCGCCTAAAGACATGGCGGGGTCAGGAGGGGACACCCGCTCCCGGGTCCTCTGCAGACCCGGGCTGTGGGCTCTCGCGGCCATGTCAAAGGCCTGACCGCCCACGACACCCGGGAGGAACCCGCGGCCAGGGGTCGCTGTCCTCGCGCTGACCCCACTCCCCACCCCGTACCCCGCCCGCCGCGCACGGCCTGCAGGACACGGAGATGGGGTCGCCCAGGACGGAGCAGCCCCGCCCCATCCCGCCGGCCGGTGTAGCGGACAACGTCCCCGCCGCCGCCACCATGGACGCTCACCAGAGCGAGGGCGCCGGCGGCTGCAGCTTCCTCTGCGCACCGCCGCCCCGACAGTGGCCCGGACAACGGAGCCCGCATCTTCCCGACCCGGCGCCCGGTGTCTGTGCCCAAAGCCCGGCACCTCAGCCTCTCACCCAGACCCGCGCGGCAGTCGGAGAACCGGGCCCCGCCCCGCGCCGGCGGACACGAGGCCGCCATTGGTCCAGCCGCGTGACTGACGGGGGAAGTGGGCGTGGCTTTCTCAACAGCCCAGGCAAGACAAATGGAAAAGAGCTGGAGGCGGGGCTCAAGCAGAAGCGCCCAAGGTCCCGCCTCTCGGTCCCCGACACGGGGTCGCAATTGGTCCTGCCACGTGAGTGACGGGCGCAGCGGGCGTGGCTTCGCGAGCGCGAGGGGCAGGCACAGAGCCCCAGAGGAAGGTCGTTAACGCCCTTGTCTGACCTCAGGAGCGCAGTTGGGGATCAAGCAAGGGCCTGAGATCTTTCTGACTCCAGAGGACCGCTTGCCTCCCCACCTCCCTGCTGTGTTGAAATGATCTTATGATGACGGATGAGGCAACCAAAACGCTGCTAGCTGTGACACTGCGCAGGTCCCTAATTCAAGACCCAGTTTTCACCTTTTATAAAATTACATTGGTGCGCGATGGTCACCACAAGTAATTTTTGACCCGGCCACGCAGGAGGCCCCGCCCGGGCAGGCAAGTGGGGTAACGGACCAGGCCTCTCCCCTGCCGGCCCATGGCTTCCTTCTGATGATGCACCTGCCCCACGAGTCCAGGACAGAGCAGTTCCATCAGGATTTGATTTGCAACCCCAAAAGTCACCCTGACAAGATGCAGCTCAGCATGCCAGCTCCCACCTGGAGCACGCGCTTCCTAATTCATGCCTCTCTTCAAATGTTCACTTCAGCAACATGAAGGCATTCTCAGATTGGGCGGGCATGAGGATTGAGGACAATTAATCTTCATCCCCCTAAGCACTCCTTCTCTTACACCCTCCTCGTCCCTGACAGCCAGGAGCCTTTCTTTCTCTGTCATTTCCCTATTCTGCATTTTTTGCACCATTGTGTGATTTCTGTTGGCCCCCAAAGTGCCACAAAGGAGAGCCAGATCCATTTTCCTTTTGTTGCAAAGGTAAAGCCCTCATGAAATAAAGGCCTTATGCAAAAAAGCAATAGCTTGGTGGGTATTTTCATCCTCCTCGGGCAGGAAGTATTTTCTAGGACATGAGTGTCAGAAGCCACAAATGCAATGTCTGATTTCAGCCACTGCCAAACGACATGCCAGAGCAACATGAGCAGGTAGACAGACAAACCCCAGTGGTCACAGTGTCCTGCAGAACCCACAGCCCACCAAGGTCCTTACGCTGGGCCATGTAGAACACTCAGGAGTCCATTTGTTTAGAAGGACAAAGGACAACCTCCTGCTATTCAAAAGTGGATCACCAGAGATGGCTGGCAAACACCACACCATCCTCCTGACAAGGACTACACAGCAATGCACACCATCCTTAGAAGTCATTTGTCCCCAAGAGACTGGCAGGTCCTCATAGCCACTGGTTAGAAATGTATTAGGCACAGGTCCTGGGAGATCCTCTGGCAGACAGGGTCATGTATCCAGTTCCTCTCTCTTATGACAACTGTGTGGAAGTACTAATAAAGCCATCAGAGTTCCCAGTGTGTCTCTTTACCTACCTAGCAGTGCTGATGCTAGGGATTTATTAGGGTTGCACAACTTTGGAAGAGGTCTGTGCAAGACTTCTTCACAGCACTGTGGAAGCACTGGGAAACAGACCCCTCAGCAACATCCATGTGGAGTTTATGGATGGAAAAACCTGGTCCACAGGTACCAGGGAACACTGGGCAGCTTTGAGGGGTGTGGATGGGGGTGTCTATCTCTATCCACAGGGAAAGAAGCTAAGGAAACCATTCCAGGGCAAAACAGGACCTGGATATATTCAGCATGTCTGTACCTAGATGTTAACATCTAGGATGTTTGCTGGCATACAGACACAGGTGTAAATGAATTGGTGGGAGAACAAGAGATGGACTGACTGCAGGAGACACAGACAAATAGGAGAGACAAAGCCAGGCACTGGTGGCTCCTGCCTATAATCCTAGCTATTTAAGAGGCTGAGATTGGAAAGATCTCTGTTCGAGGCCAGGTTGGGCAAAAAAAAAAAGTGTGTGAGACCCCATCTCAACCAATCGACGGGCACAGTGGTATAATGAAAACCTTCTGGAAATGGCTAGTGGTGATGAAACAAAGAGCTACTTCTTTGAAAACATCAATGACATTGACAACTCTAGCAAGACTAAGAACAGACCTCAATCGTTAGTACATGACACGGTGACTGTACCTCCTGCCACTAAGTTGTACACTTAAAATAGTAACTTTTATGGTATGTTGTGTATTCCCGCAATTTAACAGTTATTAGATGCAGACTTTTTTGTACAGAATTTCTCCTCTGTTCCAACTTTCCTGGGAGCGAGTTTTTCTTTCTTTTTAGACAAATGGTTGTTGAATTCTGTCAAATGCTTCCACTGCATCGACTGACTTAACTGTAGTTTTTCACCTTTAGCCAGTTAAGATGGTGGACTCCCCAAAATGGAGCTAGCCTTTTCTCCCTACAGAGCCGGTGTGCAATGGTAAAGAACTGCTTTTATACATAGTTGAAGCATTTGCTAATATTTTGGTAAGGATGTCCACGTAAGCATTCATGACAGATGATCACCCGCAGTCATCTTTTGCATGCTTCACAGAGTGAATGAAACTGTTCCCTCCGAGTCTGTGTTTTGTTCTTTGTTTTTTTAATGTGCAGGCTTTTAACGCTTGACAGAATTCCACAGTAAAAATCATCCGAGCACGTAGATTTCTTGTGTGGGAATTCGGAAATTACAAATTGGACTTCCTTAATAGTTACAGGACACTTGGAATGACCTATTTCAGACTGAGCGAGTCACTGCAGAATGTGTGTTTCAAGTACATTTCATCTAAATTGTCAAATTTAGCGAGGTGCAGAGTTTTCCTAATGTTCCCATATATCCGTTTGGTGGCCACAAGGTCACCTTGTGCCATCCTGATACTCATAACCTATGTCTGTTCTTTTTCCTTAGTCTTGCTGGAGAGCTGTCTACTTTACTGATGTTTTCAAAGAAGTATTCCTTTGTTTCATTGACTTTACTCTCAGTCGTCCAGTTTCACTGATTTCTCCCTAGAGCCACAAGCTGTCATTTTCTTCTGTTTACTTAAGACTTATTTTGCTCTTATTTTTCCAGGATTTTTTTTTTCCTTTGCAGTACTAGAGTTTGAACCCAGGGCTTTACACTTGCTAAGCATGAGCTTTGTCACTTGAGCCACACTCCCAGACCTTTTCCACTTTAGTTGTTTTTCAGGCAGGGTCTCCCATTTTTGTCCTACTTACAGCCTCCCATGCAGCTAGGCACACCCCACTGTGCCCAGCTTAGTGAATGAGATGGGGTCTCACTAACTTCCAAGGCCACGAAACCATGTGTGAAGAACCAGGAGTTTATATCTTATCTCGTGTGGTCATCAGCCTTGTCACCTCAGTAGTGTCCTGTCCTTCCTTGAGCGCAACACGGCCAGCAGGCCTCTACCCACACTTGGTGAAGATGCCCCAGAAACCAGATTCAACTGTTTGTCCCATAAGTGGACGGGACTGCAACCATCTTGCGTGTAATCAACCTGATCTCCCAGGCTCTCTTACTGTAGTAAAATCACATATCCTCCCATTTGCTTTTCGAAAAAGAGATTATTTTCTTTATTCAAACAATTTTCCTTTGTTCTTATAGATCTTTGGTCAAGTTTTCCTCCCATCTAGGATAGGGTTCGACCAGCCCCTGGACATCTGAGCTATGTTTGACTGGAAGAGCCAGAAATACCCATTCTTCTTGCTGGTGCACTATTGACACATTCAGTTCTGTCTTCAGAGAAGAAGGAAAGTTCATCACATCAGTGCTTTAAACCCAGAAAGCTATGGAAACAGCCAAGATGCCCCACAACTGATGACTGGATTAAGACAACGTGGTGTTTATATACAATGGAAGTTTATTCAGTCATCAAGAAGAATGTAATTTTGTCGTTTGCAGGTAAATGGATGGAACTGGAGAACATCATCTTAAGTGAAGTTAGCCAGGCTCAGAAGGCCAAAAGTCACCATGTTTTCTCTCATATGTGGAATATAAACCTAACACAAATGCAGCAGTATTATGAAAAACAGGTCACACTAAGAGAGGTCACATATGAGGGAGGGTAAAAGAAGGAAGTTAAGTAGGTGAAAACAGTCAATTACTTTCTATATAAGAATGAATGTAGAATTTTTTAAACCTTTTGAAAGCACAGGTTTAGAAGGGGACTAAGTAGAAAGAAGAAAAATGGAGGGGATGAACTAATTCAGATTATAATCCACATATACATGGAAATGTCACAAGGAAACTCCCTGTGTAGTTATGTTATACAAACAAAAATGTCTTTTTTCAAAAACTGAGAACAAGAAGGTAACACAGGTCCTCTTTGGAGTTTGGTATCAGTGGGAGGGGGGAGGATATAAGGAAAGAGTGTGGGAGGGTGAATGTGGTGGAATATTACGCACTCATGAGTGGAAAGGGAAAAATGAGACCTGGTGAAACTATTCCAGGAATGAGGGGAGGGGAGGATAAAGGAGAATGAGGGAGGGAGTGAATTCAACTATGATATATTGTAAGAACTTTGATAAATGTCACGATGTATTCCCAGTACAACAATAATTAATAAAAAAAAACCAGAAAGATATCTCACCTTTACAAAATTTAAATTTTATTAATCAGGTAAGTCAATAAATTATTAAGGGATCCGATAATAGATTGTTTATGGCAAGTTTTACAGCAGTGGTACCATGTTATAAGTAAGAAATGTGAAGAATTCACATCTCAGCTTCACCCAGATCACTGATGACTCAAGTGATGGATCCCACGCTGGTCACTTTGAAGACACTGTCCCTCCTCTGGGCAGGCTGTCCCCAATCCAGGCCTTCCTGCAGAGACTGTTTGAAGGCTGAGCTGTGGTTTGGGTTAAAACACCCATGTGTAGGTGTTTGGCTGACAAACCAAAATCAAAGACATCCGGCCGGATCTGTAGGACATGAAATGGAGCACGCAGGGATAAGTTTGGGTATGAGTGGGATGAATACACCTATGGGCCAAAAGTTTAAGTCTACAGTGGGAAGGAGGAAATGGTTGGTCCAGGTTTTGTGACTCAAGTAAAACCTCACTAAAGGAGCAAAGATAACCACAAGAGTTGGGAGAACACCTCACA